TAATGAAATAGACGTAAACTCTACAAATGTATGTGCTATTACTGTCCTTTTAGGTTTATTTATGTACAATAATTAGTATCCATACTTTGTTTATACTTCTCTAGCATTAATAATAATAATAAATGTGTGGTTTATCATTAAAATACTCAGCAAGATTATAAATTCTTACAAAAGCTAAATGTTAGAAATTAAAGAAAAAATTTTAACTGCTTTATCCAAGAAGTTCAATTATTTCAAAAAATTTGTTAACCAAGAAAAGAAATAAAATGGAAAGATAAAACCTGAAACTAAGAAGAAATTTTAATAAATACTTTTAAAGTTCTTAGCATTAAAACCAAGTTAAAAAAGAGAAATATATTTAACATATATATAGAAAAATATAGGTAATAAATAATTTCTTATAATTCTATTTTTAACATTATTAATTTTTTTAGATGAATATTTAAAGAATTTCTAAGGTGATATAAATGAAAGTAACGCTACTCTAAATTAAATTGAAAAGAATTAAGAGGATAATGAGCAATAAAGTTAATTGAAATAATTTTTCAATAAAGAAATTCAAGCTTCATAAAAAAGCGATTCTACACCATTTTATAAATATACAATATAAGATAAATAAGGATAAATTGAATTTAAAAATGGGAATAATTAAATTAAATTTAATTAAACAGAAAGTCTTTAATTAGGTAAATATTTTATTTTATTTCTACAATAAAAAAAAAATTTTTTTCAAATAAAAATAGAAAACAATATTGAGAATTAATTAAAATAGAGTTAAAAGTAATAAGAATAAGATTAAAAGTTATTTTCAACAGAAATTAAGAAAGATCAAGATGACAATGATTTAATTAAATTTAATGATCAATTAGAATCTTTGTATTCTGGTAATTATTTTTAATTTATCCTGATTTTAACTAAAAATAATTTTTTATTTATCTAGAAAACTAAGATGACAGAGTTAATACAGATTAATATTTTGTTGATTCTAATAAGTTTTTAATGAATTTATAGCCTAAAAGAATTTTATCAGATATCATTTTCTAGAATTAAAATCTCTATGCTAAATCTGATCAATAAACATTAGTATATGTTGAAGAAGTTGATGAGATAAATTGTAAGTAATAAGATAAGAAAAATGAAAATTTCAATGAATAAACTGAGTTTAATTTAAGATCTCCTAATTATTCAGAAAAAGGCACTTAAAGAAATTAGCACGTGTTTGATTCTAAAAAAAATTTAATTAAAGATAAATAATCAGAAAATTTTAGTAGATAGGAGTATAAAAATGACTAAAGATAACAAGAGACTATTACAGAGGAAAATATATAAAATTTATAACATAAAATTAAAGATGATTAAAATGATAGCAAACAAGGATAACAAATTTCAATCTCCATGATTGAAGGTAAAACTTAAATTTATTATTGTTTTTTAATATTTTATTTTAATTAAAAAGAAAAAAATAAAAACAATGCTGGTAAAATAGATTTAGATATTTACTCTAATAGAATAATAACTGGATAGCAATTAACTGACACAAAGTTAGATTTAAATTATAACACTGAAAATTTAATAAATATTTAAAATTCATAAGACACAATTTATAATTTAGATATTGAAGTGTAAGTTAATAAGTGAAAAAATTATTTATGATATGTTTTAATTTTATTTTTGTTTTTTTAAAGTTTTACACATTAATTTGGTAGATGCTTTTTAAATATTTTTAAATCTTGCTCTCAACTAAAATAAAACACTGCAAATCCTCATTAATTAAGGGCTGAAATTTTATAAAATAGAAAAATTTTTGATTAAGAACTTTTTGAATATGTTAAAACAATTAAAAAGTTTAATCGTTAGAATATAATAAAATTAGATTTATTGATTTTTACTAATTTAAGAAAAAATCATTAAAAGAATTAGGAGAATAATTAAGCTACAAATAAAAATATTATACTGCTTTTATTCTTTTAATTTTCTAGCAATTTTATTTTTTAGGTTCAATCTGCATATAATAAGCTTAATATTTCTTTCAAAATAATTAAAAAACAAATTTATTACTATTAAATGTCCAATATGTATGGCTTATTTTTGAGATAAATATAAACTCATTAAAAAAAATCTTTATAATTTTTAGTTTATAAATAGTTAATTTTTAATTATATTAATTATTAAAATAATATAATTTAAATATAGTCAAGAAATTTAAGATGACAGATTTATTACATATTAATATTATATTAATTCTAATATTTTTTAATTGAGTTACTGCATAAAAAACTTCAAAGATAAAGATCTAAAATTAAAATAAGTAAGCTAAATCTGATCAATAAAATTTATTAAACAATGTAGAAATTGATGAAATAAAATACCAAATAATATGAATAAAATAGAAATTTAAATGAATTAATTATGTTGATTTCAAATATAAATATCACTTTAATACTGAAAACAGTACTTAAAGAAAATTAATTCATGTTTAATTCTGAGATAAATTTACTTTGATAAATAATCAGATAATTTAAATAACTAAAGTTATAATTAAAACTTAAAAAACTTAAAATTAACAAAAAGCTAATATATCAATAGAAGAAGAAATAAAAAGTTTATAGCATAGAATTAAAGATTATAAAGATGATAGCAAGAAAGGATAATAAATTTAAACTAAGCTAATTGATGATAATCAATAAAATATTAGATTAATTATTGTTTATATTTAATTTTAATCAATAATAAATAAAATAATTGTTGTAAAATAAAGCGAAAATATTATTCTAAATTCTAAATTAGTATTGAATAATAACTTATAGTATTTAAAATTCATAAGACCTGATTTTATAATTAGGAAGTTGAAATTTAAGTTAATAAATTATATTATTATAAATTTTATTAGTCTTTTTTTGAAAATAATTTAAATAATTTTTATATTTTTATGTCTAAGCTATTTGCTAAGTATCACTCAATTAACTATCACCTTAAAATGTTGACTTATCTTTTAATAACAATTAAAAAATAAAAATTGTATAATTTAAGTTTTATTTAAAATGGGTACTCTTTATTAAAATATTATTCAAAAATAGTTCTTGTTTAAAAGTTGAATAATATATTCACTTTAGAATGTTTAAAAAGAGAAGTGTTGTCTTAATCATAAAATCATCTTTCAAAAATTATGATATTTTTTGTTTCTAGAAAAATGTAATACTTACTAATTAATTACCTTTTTATCTTAAATTTTCAATTATAAAAATGTATTTTTCTATAACTTAAAATTATTACTAATTCACTTGAATTTAAATATTTGATCCCTAATACAATAATCTAAACAATTAGATATGAGATATCTTACTTTATCTTAAATAATATGTTTTTTCTAAAAAATTGACCATAAAGTAAATTACTAAACGAGCAAAATATATATTATTTTTCATTTAATTGCCCCCTAAATTTTAAATCTTAAAAAATTCTACTTAATTAAATAAACTCATAAATAAACGTAAATAATAAAAAAAATGTAAACTAACAGTTATGTGCTGTTAAACAATAATTATTTTTCAAATAGCAAAGTAATATTCTTGAGACATCTAACTGTTCTTTTTGAAATATTTATTTTCAATTTTTTTTTTTACTCTAATTATTTTAGTTAATTTCAATTAATTTCAAACTTAGGCTAAATTTGATTATTTCATCTCAAAGTTGTCTTAGAATTTTTATTGATTTCCTTTCTTTTGAAAAATTTTTAATAAAAAAATATCAAATTTAAAAGGCAAATGTTTTTGACTATAATATAAAGTATTTAATGACAATAAATAACAATTTTTCATATACATAGCAAAGATTATTAAAATATGAATTTTTTGATGATATTTCTTTTAGAATTAAATAAATCTGTTGATAATAAATGATAATTAAATTGGTTAATGAGATAAAATAAATTAAATATTTTTCGACAATTATAACAATTATAATTATTTTTATTATTTTTTTAATATTTTTATATATTTTCAATACTTTTCTTCAACTCTTAAAATAAAACTAGTAAGATAATCATTTTATATTAATTATTTTTTTGTTATTTTAGGTTTAGCCTTTTAATAATTGTATTTATAAATAATAGTGAATTGATTTGATATATGTTATTCCTTTAAATATGTAAAATTACCTTGAGAAAAATAAAAAAAAGTAATATTAAATCTGATTTTGAAAATATATATATAATTACATAGATTGGAATTGAAGATGATAGATATATTTACATTAAACTATATCATCTAATAAAGTTATTGAAAATTGATATAAATATTAGATTATGATAACTCCATATTAATTTTTAAAAAATAATAGAATTTAATTTATATATTTTTCAATTTGACAAATAATTAGAGGTTCATTCATTATAAATTCCGCTGCCTCTCCCATTTTTCTATATATATAATTTTTATCATAAATTCTAAAATTATGATATTTTGCTTGCTATTATAATGTAACACTAACTAATTGTTTATTTTTTTACCTTAATTTATTTGTTTACAGTCTTTATCAATATATAAAAATGCTTTTTTCGATAACTTCAATTATTGCTTATTCACTTTAATTTTAATTTTTGATTATATAAATAAATAATTTTCTTTGTTTGTTAATTGAGAAAGATTAATATATCTTTTTTCAATTAATTTTAATTAAATTTCACGATAAATAAGAAGGAGGAAAATACCCAAAACCAAATATCTAATTAAAATAGATGATTTTTCCCCTTTCTTTCTTTTCCATAATTTAATTTAAAAATTGAGAATGCAAAAATGAACCTGTTTTCTAAATAAGTTATTTTAAATTTATCTTAACTTACTTTTCAATAAATTAATTAATATTAGGGAACTAAAATATATCCTTATGCATTTTAAATTGGTAGAAGATTATATGCTCTTTAAGTTTTTAAAGCAATAAATAAGTAATTCCTTTAATATATATAAAAATTAATTAATTAAAAAATACAAAAAATTGAGAATATGAATTAAACAAAAATACCTAGATTCGCATTTGCTTTTCTTTGGATTGCTCTTTGTGTAGAAGGGCTAAATTGTCCGAATATTGAAAAATATGATAGTAAAATTACTATAAAAGATAAACAATTAATCCTTCATTTATATTTTTATAAATAGACCCTGTAAATTTTTATTAATATTTTGTGCAAAATATGATTGTCATACCTAAAACTAATATTATGATAATAAATACGATGCAGCAAAGTTCTTCGGGCTCAAGCTATATATATTATATAGATTTAGTTTCAGCACAAGTTATTAATACAATAAAGCGTAGTGTTATTGTTCATTTATACAATTTTTTTATAATTTTATATTAATAATTAAAGCAAGTTATTAGATTACCAGCATGAAGTATCACTAACTTACAGATAAGATTGTTGTTATTAATAAAGGAAGTATCTTAATGACTGATCCTTACACATTAAAAGTTTTGTAAACGTTCTCTGCATTTAATCTCTTTTAGCTTGAATTAATTGAAGCAACAAATTATATAATTGTTAGTCTATACTAAAATTAGTGCTGGGTTGTTGATGTTGATAAATAGAATTTAGTTATTGATATGGATAACTCTTAGAGCTTAGAATCCTTTCCTGATAATTCTTATCTGACTCAATATATCACTAAATTTATTACTCTCTCAACTGGTGAAACAATAATTGTTATAAGTAACGATAGAGGTTTGATATATTGGACTATAGATCTTAATAACTTTACTTATAAATGGAATGGTTTCATAAAACCTTGTAATATTCTAATAAATCAAATAACTCAATAATTTATATTTATTATATAAAAGCAATTGTAAGATAATAAGGAGATCAGTATTGGAGCTTTAGTAAACATCCAACGAAAGATATCCTCTTCTTGGTTGGAGCTTATCAATAGATTTTAGTACTTTAAATAGTTGATATTGTATAAGGAACATTTAACACACTTTTTAAATAAAGTATTTATATCTTTTAAAATTACTAATTTATTAATAAATTTAATTTATTTATTTTATTTTTGAAAGGTTTGAATAGTTATTCATCAAATGAATTCTTTATAAATATGCACTATATTGTCTTGGAGGGTTAAGAAATTTTTATCACTAATTTAGGCAAATATTTACATAAATTTAATGTTTCCTTTAGCTCTGATTTTACTTCTTTAGAGATAACTGAAGCGGCTAATGAGTAGGTAGTTAGCTATTTTGTTTGGACACCATACTTAGAAATGAACTCCATTTTTATATCTTCCGGAAACTATGTTTCAATTTATAATTACAAGCAAGAATAAATTTCCTATATGCTTTGTAAAATTTTTAAATAAATAAATAAATTCATCAGTATAAAAATTTTCTAAATTATAAAAGATTTCTATGGAAACAGATGGAATAGAAGATTTATTAGTAGATATGATGGAGAAACAGATAAGATAGTGCTTGTTGATAATAACTAAGTATACCTATATGAAAGAAACGGCTTTGGATACTAGACTTTAAATAAAAATAAATAAAAACAGCAGCTAAATTATAATTAAGTAAATGATTATGGAGTCGTTTATGAAGTAAAATATACCACTAATTAATATTTGGTAAAAACTGGGGACTCATAAACTGATTATATGACTACTTTTCAAATATACCCACTAGATTCGCCTGAAAATGTAAAAATTTTATTTTTATTTAAATTAAAAAACTTAATATTTTTTTTCCAGACTATAGACATACATGCTAACTATGGATTATACTGGGGCAATGTTAATTAAATAATAGATCCGTTCTTTTTCAAAAACGCTATTTGGGTTCCATTAAATGATTTTTATAAATCAACAAGCTATTTAATATCTTTAGTAAATTGCTAAACTGGTGAAATTTTTTATTTGAAATCAGACTCGCTAGATGATAAAAGCATAATTATATAATATGGTCTTGCCTCATTAGATGATCCAGAAAATCAAGAACTCATAGCTATAGATACTAAAGGAAATATATATTCTTGGGATTTAAGCTAACCTAACTTTCCATTTAAGTTTTCCTAAAATTTTGGTAACTATATTTCTTTTATTCATAAAATTACAAAATTATTTATATTTATAAAAATGTATTTCAAATAAAATTACCAAATTTTTATTTTAAGCATTTATTTAGAATAAAATAATAAAACTTAATAATAGAATTAAATTATTTCATTTTTAGTGTCAATTTTAGCAATTTTACACATTAATAGACATTATTATATTTATGCTTATCTCATTTTTATTTATTTATTGTATTTTATTAATTATTTTTAAAAATAAAATTTCAAATGACAAAAAAATTTTTATAAAAAAGATCTTAACTTTTCCTAAATTTTTAGTTTAAAAATCTAATCTTAAATTTTTGAAATATATATTATAACTTATTAAAATAAAAAGATTGTTCAGGTATTTATACAACAGACATATTTTAGTACAAAAAAATTAAGAGATTAATAATGTTTTGCCCAGATAATTATGTTTATTCTTTTGATTATTTAACTGGAAACTACTCAAAAATAGTTCAGCTAACTATGTTTCCAACAGCTTTAAAAGCAATATCTCGTCTTGAGATGATTTTAATAGGAGATTTCAACACAGGTTTTGCATATGTTTTTAAGTATGATCCAGATAAAGATTAATTTAACTTATTTTTAAAATTTAAACCTACTAAAACTAGCGATTAGTTAGATTTTATGGATATAACATATGATAATATTTTGTGGATTTAATATTAATATAGTAACGTGTTTTACAATATAGGCGATTGTTTAAATGATCCTTAATAATGCTTAGAATGTACTTAATAATATTATTTTAATGCTACTAATATATATGATTAAAATGGGTTATATGGAAGTGGTTAGCTAGATTCTCCTTTTACTACTTCATACAATTTTTTCACATCAATGATTAAAGTAAACCATAAAATTTAAATTAAATAATTAAATTTAATTTCTATTTATTTAAGAAAAAAATAATTAATTTTGTTAATTTTTAATAACTTAAAAATATTTGAGATAATATTTATTTTAAATTTATACAGGCATAATTTTATTAGAGTCTTCTTTTTAATGTTAGCAATATGAATGTAGAAATAAATATCTCACCTGGGAATACTTTAGTCTTAAATCCAAATTTTATGAATTTTGATTTTAATGATATTATATCTTTGATTTTTTAAAGTTTAGAACCAGGAGTTTATGCTAGCATTTAATATTTTAATAATCTTTAGCTTTAAGACTATAATTATATTGGGTTTAAAGATACTGTCATCAACTTTGATCTAGCTTAAAATATTAAATGTGGATTATCTTTTCTAAACATTTAAAGTGGTGTTTTATTAAATAATATTTAGCTGTTCCCGTTAATGAAACCCTCCTAAACTTAAAGTTGCTAGTACATATATTCTGAAAGCTCACCTTTAAGTATTTAAAATTATCATATTTAGAATGAAGATTTCACTTATCATCAGTCTATTTTGAGCTCATTTAATAATAATGATGTAATATAATTTTATACTATTAATAATTTCATTTAATTATTTTTATTTTTTATAGATTAAAATTTCAAACTTTTCACTCATAAATTGCACTTTAGGTGATAATTTTAGTATTTTAAGGCAAGTATCAAATGTCGATACATATATTGATAATTTAAACATTACTGATAATAAATGCTCTAATATAAGTAATAACAACAATACTTCTTTTTTATTTAATGCAGGTTTATTTTAGGTTAACGGAATGACTATGAATAATAATAAATTTTGTAGAAAATCAATATTTTCAACTGTTGTTTCTCTTTAACAATCTAACTATATTTTTAAATTTATCAACATAACTTCTTAAAACAATACCTTTGAAGTAAGAACTACTTATGTTTTCTTTAACGCACTATACTCACTTTTAATTTAACCTGATCATCAGCTAATTCTGTAAAATGTTTCATTTACCGATAATTAACTATCTGTATAAAATAGCAAAGATTTAATAACAGCTCAGTATTTTGAAACTATAAAAATTTCAAGCATCAATATGTAGAATGTTTCACTTCTAAATCATTTTGATATTTAATTAGGTTTAATGCAAAATACAGATTCAGCAACTATAATGAATTTTAATTGCTCTAATAGTCAAGCATACATTCTGTAAATACCTAATTAATTGACAGCTAGCTGCTTACAATTATTTGAAGTTTTAAGTCTTGGAATGTAAAACATTAATATTTTTAGGAAAAAAGCAATTGACTCTAGTTTAATATTTATAAAAAATTTTTTTACCTAATAATCAACTTTTAACATGAAAGTAGCTAATTTTCAAGATTTATCATTAATTTAAAGTGGCATTAATACATATGTAAGCCCTATTTACATTCAAAGTAGTTATGAAATCGATGTTGAAATAGACTAAGCTGTATTCTAAAATATATCTTTATAATCTGTGGAGTATAGTATAAGCTATTCTTCTTTAGCATTATAGGTTACAAACTACATAGGAACATTTGTGATAAAAAACTCTTATTTCCTAAATTCATATAGCCAATCAATTTATGGATTTATTTATGCGCAAACAAATACTTTGGTATTAGATACAGTTGTTTTTAACAATCAGACATTCTATAATAGTTAAAAATAATAATTATTTTAACAATATGGAGGATTTATTAATGCATAAATTGAAAATTTAAATGTCTCTAAAACCACCTTTAATTAATCAACTTCTATAAAAGGAGGATTCTTATATTTACTATAGTTTGGAAAAACATTTAAAATTAACATAGTTGATACCATTTTTAATGAAGGATATGCTTCTACGGATGGTGGAGCTATATTTATAGACTCAGGAAATAACTAAATTTAACTAAACTGCTTTAATTGCTAATTTAGCAACATTTATACTCTTCTCAGCTCAGCATGCAGCATTGGATTACAGTAAAATTAAAAAAATTTTATTAATTAAATTTTCATTCATAAATAATTTTATTTTTTTTTAAAATTTTTATTTTCATTTATAAAAATTGTTTAATATTTTTTTAAAATAGGAAATATTCTTAAGTTAATAATAAAGCTTTAAATTCCATAATTTTCTAAGGAGGGTACATCAAAAACGTAAAAGGTATTTTAGATAGCTACTTTATTGATGTTATATATACTAACATTTAATTCTTGGAGATTAATTAAATTTTATCAGAAGTCTTTGAATCTGACTCTTAAGCTTATTAGTAGTATTCTCTTTAAAGTAGCAATCAATAGCCAGCGATTCTTTCCAACTTATAAAATTCAATATTATTGATTTAAAGCTGTACTATTTCTAACTTAAAAAAGACATCATTTTAAACCACTTATCCATTATTAATCAATTCACACATTTCTAATATAACAATTCAAGATACAAATATAGAAAATTTAGTCTATATTACTAGTACTTTGTAATTGATTTAAAGTTAAATACAATTGATAAATGTTAAATTTAAAAATATAAATTAATTAACTCAAAGTTCAAGGCTCATTCAATCATAAGAATATTAGATTCCGAGTTAAAATGCAGCTACATTGATATCTACTTTATAGTCTAGTGTAAATTTAAGCTAAAACAGTCTTTTTTAGAATGTTACCTGTAGCTAAAATTGTAATGGAGGAGCGTTATAAATCTAATAGGGTAAATTAAGTATATAGGAAACCACATTTCAAAACGTTTCTGTAAACAATTTTTCAAAATCTTTAAAATTATTAAACTGATTAATCATTTAAAAAATAGTCTAACTTTGGAGGTGCAATATATATTTTAGGATTAAATTAAACTAATCTTATTTTTGATTCTTAGTTTATTGGTTGTTAATCTTAAAATGATGGTGGAGCTATTTATCTAAATGCCTAGCAAGATGACGTAAATAATACATTTCTATATTTATATTTTTTAAATTATTTATTTTATAGCAATTTTAGCTTACTATATCTTAAAGTAAATTCTCAGACAATACTTGTTAAGCAAGAGGAGGTGCAATTTATGTTAATTCATAAACTACAAATCCTATAAACCAAAATGTTAAAATCACTGATTCAAAAATAATATATAACAAAGCAGCTGTTGGTGCTGGTGTATTCTAATAAAATATATCAATAGATTAAAGCTAAAATAATATAATTTCTGCTAATAAAGCAAGTATTTCTGGAGATAATAGTATTTCTTATCCTACCAAACTAAAAATAATTAATTTAGACAAGTTTCTAGAAGGGAATAATGCTAAGATTAATAATTAACTAATATCTGTTAATGACTTTAGGAGTGGTGCAAATATAACAGATATCGAATTTATTTTAGTAAATGATCATGATGAAATTTTTTTCCCAATTACATAAGATTAATAAAACTCATATTAAGTTAATGTCCAATTTGACAAAACTATTTAAAAATTTAATTCTTATGTTGTAGGTGGTGATACCTATGCGAAATATGATCCAAAATTAAAAGCTTTTAAATTCAGCAATATTAGTTTATCTGGAATTCCTTAAACTTCTGTAAACCTATAGTTTTCTTCTGACTAGATTTACTCAGTAGATCCAATAGATAATAAATTTGTATAAAATTATCATTTTAATTTAACAATAAACTTTAGGTCATGTGGTACTGGTGAATAAATAACATAGTTAGATTAAGTAACTTAATGCTAGATATGCCCTGAAAATTACTACTCTTTCAAAGTATAAAACTGCTAAGAGTGTCCTAAGGGTGCTACATGTTTAGGTGGATCGAGTATTGTAGCAAATGCTGGTTATTGGCGTAAAAGTAATGATAGTGATTTAGTACTTTCCTGCAATAATCTTCCCGATAATTGCTAGGGAGGATCTTTTGGAGATAATATTTGTTATGAAGGACATATTGGAGCACTTTGCGAAGAGTGTGATGTAAAATTAATAACAATTTTAATATGGTATATTAAATTTTGATTTAAATTAGATATATGGATAGTATTGGCCACATTCTTATGCTAAATCAGCTAAGTTTTCGTGTACCAGATGTGATTAAATAAAAAACAATGTATGGATTGTTGTTTTAATGACGATTTGGACTCTAATTTCTATGTGTTTAGCAATTAAAGGAGATGTTGATGTTTTAAAAGAAAAAGTTGCTGTTTATACAATTTAAAAAAATTTATCTAGAAAAACAACTGCTCATTAAAGGAGATAGTCATCATTATAATTTAAAACTATGAGCTTTAGTAATATACAACAAGCTAAGAGTGTGGGAAGATAGAGAAGCACATCAAATAAATTTAAAATGGAATTTAATAAAAATGAAGATAAATCTGGAATTTTTATTAAGATGCTTACTAATTATGTTTAAATTGTCGGATCAATAGCAACTTTTAATCTCTCTATTCCATCAGGTAATTAATTTATTCATTATTAACAAAATATTTAAGATATAAAAATATATTTTTATCAAAAAGGTATATTTGAATTTCCCCAATCTTTAGGTTAACCACTTAAATAGACTATGAACTCACTTGACTGTGCACTTTAAGAATTTAATTTTGAGATGCCAATAATCTATGTTAGACTGCTTTTTTCACTTAGTCTACCAGTTATTTATATGATACTCTTTGTTTTATGCATGATGATATATTATCTAATAAAATATATAAAGCACAGAAAAGAAAAAAGTAAAAATTAATTCCCATGGTATATTTTAACAACAGCTATAATTTTCCTCATCATTTATGTTCAGCCAGATTTAGTTGCTCAGATTATTGCTTTGCTTTCTTGCAGATAAATTGGAGATACAAATTATATTTTATCAAATGTTTCTTTTGTCTGCTATACTCATGAACATTTATACTACGCATTTACACTAGTTTTGCCAATGCTCATATCATGGGTTATTATAATACCAGTTTTTCTATTTTTAGTACTAAGAAAAAACAAAAATAATTTAGACTCAATTGATATTAAACTTAAGTATGGATTTTTGTATAAAGAATACTAAGAAAGTGCCTTTTATTGGGAGTTTGTTAAGATGGTAGAAAAATTAGCTATTATTCTTTCACTAAATTTTTATTCTTAAAGTGTTGTAACAAAGGCTATTCTCGTTTTTATTGTCATATCTTCTTATGGTATTTTGTCACTTATCATTCACCCATATCAAGAATCTGATGTTAATGAAATAGATGTAAATTCTACCAACGTATGTGCTATTACTGTCCTTTTAGGTTTATTTATGTACAACAATTAGTACCCATACTTTGTTTATACTTCGCTATGTTTAATAGTAATTATAAATGCGTGGTTTATCATTAAAATACTCAGCAAGATTATAAACTCTTATAAAAGCTAAATGCTAGAAGTTAAAGAAAAAATTTTAACTGCTTTATCTAAGAAGTTCAATTATTTCAAAAAATTTGTTAGCCAAGAAAATAAATAACACGGAAAAATAAAACCTGAAACCAAGAAGAAATTTTAATAAATATTTTTGAAATTCTTAGCACTAAAACCAAGTTAAAAAAGAGAAATATACTTGACATATCTACAAAAAAATATAGGTAATAAATAATTTTTTAATAACACTATTTTAACATTTAAAATTTAAAAATTTAGATGAATATTTAAAGAATTTCTAAGGTGATATAAATGAAAGTAACGCTACTCTAAAATAAATTGAAAAGAATTAAGAGGATAATGAGCAATAGATCTAATTGAAATAGTTTTTCAATAAAGAGATGCAAGCTTCATAAAATAGCGATTCTTCACCATTTTACAAACATACATCATAAGATAATTAAGGATAAATAAAACTTAAAAATGCAAATAATAAAATTAAATTTAATTAAACAGAAAATCTATAATTTGGTAAATATTTTGTTTTATTACTACAATAAATAATAATATTTTTAAAAATAAAAATAGAAAGTAATCTTGAAATTGAATTAAAATAAAATTAAAAGTAATAAGAATAAAATTAAAAATTATTTTTGCCAGAAACTATGAAAGATCAGCATGGCAATGATTTAATTCAATTTAATGATCAATTAGAATCTATTTATTCTGGTAAATATATTTTTAATTTATCCTTATTTTTAACTAAAAATAATTTTTTAAATTTATCAAGAAAACTAAGATGACAGAGTTAATACAGATTAATATTTTATTGATTCTAATAAGTTTTTAATGGGGCTATAGCCTAAAAGAACTTTATCAGATATCAACTTCTAGAATTAAAATATCTATACTAAATCTGATCAATAAACATTAGTATATGTTGAAGAAGCTGATGAGATAAAGTATACATAATAAGATGAGAAAAATGAAAATTACAATGAATAGAATGAGTTTAATTTAAGATCTCCTCATTATACAGAAAATAGCACTTAAAGAAACTAACAAGTGTATGATTCCAAAATAAATTTACTTAAAGATAAATAATCAGAGAATTTTAGTAGATAGAAGTATAATATTGACTAAAAATAGCAGGAGACTATTATAGAGGAAGATATATATAGTTTATAAAACAACATTAAAGATGATTAAAATAATAGCAGACAAGGATAATAAATTTCAATTTCTATTATTGAAGGTAAATACTTAAATTTATTATTATTTTTTAATATTTTATTTTATTTAAAATAGATAAAAATAAAAATAATACTGGTAAAAAAGTTCCAGATATTTAATCTAATAGAATAATACCTGGTTAATAATTAACTGACACAAGGATAGATTTAAATTATAACACTTAAAATTTAATCAATATTTAAAATTCATAAGATATGATTTATGATTAAGATATTGAAGTGTAAATTAATAAATGAAAATATTAATATTATTAATTAATATTTTAATTTTATATATTTGTTTTTAAAGTTTAAAACTTTTATTTGGTTTATGCTTTTTAAATACCTTAAAATCTTTATAATAAAAATAGATAATTTTATAATAGAATTTAATTAATAATATTCATAATATAAAATTCATATAACTTTTAGTGTTAATAACATTTTGTATTAATTTTATTTACACAGTAAATTTAAATTTTTAAAATTTTATAAATCCATATATATTTAATTATAAAATAAGTTTTAAAAATAACTCATGATACATCATTAATTTGGATTTCTGTTTTATCAAATAATATTTTTCTACCTAATATTTTATTCATTCATACTTCATTTTATTTCAAAAATAATTTAATCCATTTACTTACTTTATTTATTTATTGAATCCATAAATTTATCTTAGTTATTATAAACTAAAATTATAGTACGTTAAAGTGGAAATGTAATACTGAAAATAGTACTCAAGGAAATTAGCCCATGCTTAGATGTTTAGAAGTGAGATAAATTTACTTAAAGATAAATAATCAGATAACTTTAATAAATAAAATTATTATTGATACTTAAAGAAGATATAAACAATTTATAAAATGCAAAATTAAAATGATAGAAAGCAAGGATAATAAATTTGAGTTTATTTAATTGAAGGTAAATAATAAAATTAATTTTATATTAATTATTTTTTTAATTTAATATAAAATAAAAAAGTAAAAACAATTATTGTAAAATAGAGAAAGAAAATAATTATAATAAATTAATATCTGGTTAATACAAATCCTAATTAAAGTTAGATTTAAATAATAACTATTAACATTTAAAATTCATAATACATGGTTTATACTTAAAATATTGAACTATAAACTAATAAATTATTTTATTATTAATTTTATTCGCTCTATTTTTAAGTATTATATTTTTATTTCTAGTTGTTTGAAAATTATTTTTAAATGAAGCTATCACCTAATACATGTTGATTTATTTTTTAATGATAATTTAAAAAATGAAAATTATCAATAATCTTTATAAAAAATGACTTTATTTCTACATTAAAATATTATTCAAATACATACAGTCTTTATTTAAAAATAGAGAAATTAATATATAATTTTATTTAATAATAAATTTACTTTAGATTTTTTTTAAACAAAGTTTTGTTTAAACCAAAAAATGGTGATTTATAATTTTTGTTGTAGAAAAATGCAACATTCACTTATTATTTACTTTTTTCCCTTAAATTTTCAATTATAAAAATGTATTTTTCTACAACTTAAAAATTATTAGTAAGCCACTTTAATTTGAATATTTGATTAGCTAATTGAATAATCTAAAAATTTACATATATAATAACGTGAATTTTCATTAATTAAGGTCAGCTGATAAAATTTGTTTTTTCTTAAAATTTGGCTATATCTAGTCCCTCCCACAAATTAATCTTTAGAAAATAAAATTTGTTTTAAATAAAAATACAGTACAAAGTTATCAAAATATATTTATTTTTTAAATAATTACACTTTTTTTTAAATCTTAAATTATTCTACTTAATTTAATACATAAATACATTTAAAACTAATAAATAAAATATTTTTTATTCACTCTTTAAAACTAATGACTATATGCTATTTTACAGCAATAGTCATTTTTAAAAATAGCAAAATTCTTTTCTTTGAGGCATTTAAATATTATTTTTACATTTACATTTATTATTTTACTTATTAATCTGCAAATTTATTTAATTTCAAACTCTAATATTTAATTTGATTATTTGATCTAATACTTTTTTTAGAATTTTTATTAGATTTGCATTCATTAGAAAAAAGTTTTAAAAAAAAATATCAATTTTAAAATACATATCTTTTAATTTTAATATAAAGTATTGAATCATAAAAAGATGGTCTCTTGCTTTTTCTCATAAAAGTAAATAAATATTTTTTCAAAAAAAACAATTTCTAAAATATCAATTTTTTTGGTGGTATATCTATATTTTAGAATGAAATAAATCTATCAATAAAAAAAGATAATTCTCTTGTTTATTTTAATAAAATAAAAGTAATTATTTTTTTATTTATATACATTTCTATTAATCTTTGAATATTTTAAATTTTTAAAATATTTTTCTTCAACTCTTAAAGTAAAAATAATAAGATAAAACTTTTATATTTATTATTGTTTTTGATATTATAGACTTAACTTTTGATGATGGTATTTGTAATTAATAGTGAATTGATTAGGTATGAATATATTTTTTTTTAATGTAAAATTAGCTTGAGAGATATTAAAAAATAAATATCCTATCTGATTTTGAAATTATATATTAACTTACATAAATTGGAATTGAAAAAAATATATGCTTACCTTAAGCTAAGTCATTTACTATAATCCTAGAAAATAAGTATAAATATTATATTATGATAACTCTATATTAATTTCTACTTAAAAAATTTATATAATGAATATAATACTCAATTAAATAGGTCAATAAATAAAATATTTGAAAATTTTATTTTATTAAAAATATGTTTTCTAAAAAATATTTTTTATAAAATTAGTCTGAATTAAGATGTTTTGAATTAAATATTTTAATAAGCGAAAATTATTTGTAATTTTATTGAATAATAAATTCATGTAATAATTTTCTCAAAGCAAAATATTACTTTTATCTTAAATTCTGAAATTAGATTTTTATTGTTGTAACAATCAAACACTGACTAATTGATTATTTTTTTTACCCTAAATTATTTTGTTTACAGTTTTTATTAATATATAAAAATGCTTTTTTAGATAACCTCAAATTATTTTTTAGTCACTGTAAATTAAATTTTTGATTTTCTTATTCAAAAACCCAGTTAATTAACTTCAAGATATTTCTTTTATATTGGCTCTAAAAATTAATATTTAATTTCCAATTTTTGTTATTTAGCAAACAAAGATAAATAAATCTTTTTTAGATATCCTTGATTAAATTTCTTAATGCTAAATAAGAAGAAGGGAAAAACCAAATCAAGTATCTAATTAAAATAGATGGTTTTTTCCCTCTTTTTCATTTCTATAATTAATTTAAAACTGGGAAAGCAAAAAATCAATTTTTTTTCTTTATAAGTTACTTTAAATTTCTTTTTACTTTATCTATAATTAAATCAATTTATATTAGGGAACTAAAATATATCCTTAAGTAACTTTAAATAGAATCCAAAGGTATTCATAATCCTTATAAATTTTAAAAGCTGTAAATAAGTAATTCCTTTAATGTATGTAAAAATTAATTAATTAATAAAATACAAAAAATTAAGAAATATGCATTTTTTAAAAATAGCTAGATTTATATTTACTTTTCTTTGGGTTATTCTTGGTGTTAAAGGGCTGAATTGCCCAAATATTGAAAAATATGATAGTAAAAATTACTTTAAGTATTGAATAATTAATCCTTTTTTATTTTATAAATAGATCCTGTTAACTTTTATAAATATATTGTGTAAAATATGATTGTCATACCTAAAACTAATATCATGATAATAAATACGATGCAGCAAAGTTCTTCGGGTTCAAGCTATGTTTATTATATTGATTTAGTTTCAGCACAAGTCATTAATACAATCAAGCGTAATGTTATTTATTTATTCATTTATACAATATTTAGAGTTTTATATTAAAATTTAAAGCAAGCTATTAGATTACCAGTATGAAGTACCACTAACTTACAGATAAGATTGTTGTTATAAATAAAGGAAGTATTTTGATGACTGATCCTTACACATTAAAGGTTTTGAAATCTTTTTCTGCATTTAATCTCTTTCAGCTTGAGTTAATTGAAGCAACAAATTATATAATTGTTAGTCTATTCTATAATTAGTGCTGGGTTGTTGATGTTGATAAATAGAATTTAGTTATCGATATGGATAACTCTTACAGTTTAGAATCCTTTCCTGATAAATCTGATCTTAATTAAAATATCACAAAATTTATAACTCTCTCAACTGGTTAAACAATAATTGTTATAAGCAATGATAGAGGTTTGATATATTGGACTATAGACCTTAATAGCTATACTTATTAATGGGGTGGTTTCATAAAACCTTGTAATATTTTAAAAATGAAATAAATCAATAAATTATAATTATTATATAAAAGCAATCGTAAGATAATAAGGAGATCAATATTGGAGCTTTAGCAAACATCCAACAAAAGATATCCTCATCTTGGTTGGTGCTTATCAATAGATTTTAGTACTTTAAATAGTTGATATTGTATAAGGAACATTTAACACACTTTTTAATTAAAGTATTTATATCTTTTAAAGCAACTAATTTATTAATATATTAAATATATTATATTTATTTTTGATAGGTTTGAATAGTTATTCATCAAATGAATTCTTTATAAATATGCACTATATTGTCTTGGAGGGTTAGGACATTTTTGTCACTAATTTAGGTCAATATTTATATAAATTTAATGTTAGCTATAGCTCTGATTTTACTTCTTTAACGGTTTCTTATGTCGCAAGTTAGTGGATAGATAGTGAATTTGTTTGGACACCGTATTTAGAAATGAACTCCATTTTTATAGCTTCTGGAAATTATATTTCAATTTATAATTACAAGGAAGAATATATTTCCTATATGCTTTGTAACTTTTATAAATAAATAAATTCATCAATTTTAGAATTTTTAATTGTAATAGATTTCTACGGAAACAGATTGAATAGAAGATTTATTAGTAGATAAGATGGAGAAACAGATAAGATTGTGCTTTTGGGTGATAACTAATTATATCTCTATGAAAGAAACGGATTTGGATACTAGCATTATGATTCTAATAAATAAAAACCACCATTATAATATTATTAAGTAAATGATTATGGAGTCTTTTATGAAGTAAGATATACCACTAATTAATACTTAGTAAAAACTGGGGACGGATAAACTGATTATATGACTACTTTTCAAATATATCCACTAAATTCGCCTGAAAATGTAAAAATT